TCCCAACAGCACCAGCCGGTAAGGACTTCTCTGCTACCTGTGCTGGAGGGCTGTGAGGGAGCAGGATGCGGGTCCCAGGGGGCTTGTGCTGGGGCTGGGCTGGCCTCCCAGGGCTGGTGGCAAGGGGAAAGGGTGGAAGGACCCGACTTTAGAGCATCTTGAGCATAAGCTAAGGGGCTGTGGCTCCCTGGTGCCTGTGGGGTGGCAGGAAGGCTGCGCTGCTGCTCAGCAGGTAGATGGTCCTCAAGCCTGGCTACCTCTCCCAGCACCCACAGATGATGCATCCACCTGGAAACAGGCCTTTCCTGAGCCTGAGTTCCCCAGGATGTGAGGACAACGGGGAGACACCTTCCAGCCATATGCCCTTGGCTGTGCAGTGGCCAGGAGGGTGTTAGGAGCTGGGACCTGCTCTCCCTGCTGAGCCCAGGGGGCCCCATGGGAGCCAGATGCCCTGCATAGCTCTAGCTGGCCTGGCAGTGCAGGCATCCTGGGATGCCCTAAGACGAGAGGACCAGAGATCCTCAGAGGACCCATGAAGGACTTAAAGCTTCACACAAATCCTGCCAGCCCCATCCAACCTCCACTGCTCCCTTATTTTTCCCTTTGGCTTTCCAAAGCTCTCCCCTTGCAAAACTCAGAACTGAAATTACAGTGCTGGGCCCCCCGTTCCCAGCCCCCTCAGTCCCTCTGTCCTACAGCCACCTCTGCAGATTCCCCAGCGCTGGGAGTCTGAGCGGCACCAACCGCGTCTCTTGGACCGCTCGGGTCCTTCAGCCAGCCCAGCAGACAGACCGCAGGGAAGCAGCTCCTACATCATGGTGGCCTCTTCCTCTTCGTGCATTCCCCAGAGGAGAGCATGACCCCTTTCCCAACCCTCTAGATGTCTCATCTCCATGTTACGTGCACCTCCCTTTTGTTTTAATGCTGGGTGGGCAGGAGGTCTCTTGGGTGAAGCCCAAGAGCAAACTCTTCACCAGCTGCAGAGCCTCTCTTCCTCAGGCCACAATCTCACATGACTTTGCTCGCCTTCAACCAAGCCGCCCCCATTTCCTGCAGCTCCACAGCCTCGTCCTGTGTTGGCTCTTGTGGGTGGTGAAAAGAGAGAAACATGAACTGGGGAAAAAGCAGCAGCAAAGGGAAAGCAGATGGGGTTCCTGGGCTGTAGCAATGGCAGTGGGCCATGAAGCGAGGTTTCCTCTATGGGAGCCATCAGGGAAGTTTGGTGATGGTGGTGGCTGGTGGGGTTTGAAATTGGTTCTGAGCTCAGTGTGCTGTAAACCAGAAGTTTCCTTTGCCAGATTCGCTCCCAATACCTGCTGCAAAACTGAGCAAAAGGCTACTTTTGTGTAGGCGTTTCTGAAAGGGCTGGTGCTGGTCTCAGTCCCCAGCTTGACCACAAAGATATCTTTGCACCAGTGGCCCCACAGCTCATGGCTACCCTGGCCTGCAAAGATGCATGCTGGGCTCCAACAGCACTGCCCTGGGTTCACCTTCAAGGCAGAGGCAGATGGTCAGGGGTAGAAGGTTTCACCAGCAAACATCCCACCCCTGCCATGGCCTCGCTAGGCACTCTGTCTCCAAAAAAACAGCCCACATCTGGACATTTTGACTGGGGTGCTCTGAACTGGAAGCCCTGTCTGAAGGGGTGTCCACCAGCCTGCAAGGCTGGCTGCCTTGCCCTCTTCCTGTTGTTCTTGTACCCCCTGGGCTCATTCTGTCCACAGTCTTGTGTACAATGGTCCAGGCCATAGCCAGTGTCTCCTGCTCCTGGGAGCCCAAAGAGAGACAGGTGGGATGCATAAGGACCTTCCTTCCCGAGGCTGAGTGGTCACCCCCATCTCCTGATGGCTCTTTCTCTTTTCTCCACAGAGCCCAAGAAGCAACCGAGCTCCTGCCGGAAGATTTGCTGCAGGTGAGGTGTAGGTTGGGTGGGCAGGCGTGTGCCTGCTTGTGCTTGGGTGTGGGAACATGCCCTGTTCCTGCCTGTGATTTCTCCCGATGACACATCCAAGGCATGGGGCTGGGATCTGCCTGTGTGCCGGAGGGTAACTCCAGGACCACAGCATTAAAGGAATGGCAGGCTCCTACCATGGGAAAGGGCTTTCCCAGCTGCTCAGAGAGGGATGAATCCTGACCAGGAGCTGTGCTCCCTTTCTCGGGGGCCAGGGATGCTCTGGGATGCAGAGCTGAGCGGTGGAGTGACAGCCTCAGGCTTCCCCAGTGCCACCTTTCCACCCCAGATCGAGCAGAGGATCGAGCCAGCCAAGCGAGCAGCTCACAGCGTCTCCAAGAGGCTCCACGCCTGCCTGCAGGGGCAGTGCGGTTCCGAGATGGACAAGCGAGTGGTGAGTGGAGTCCTTCCTCTGCAGCCCACGCTCGCCCCAGCTCTGTCTCCCAAAAGCAAAAGGGGCAGGAGTCCCCTGCCTTGCAGGCTTTGCTGAGGGTGAGCCAAGCCCAGGTTCCATCTTCAGCAGTGGCCACCAGCAGGTGTCCGAGTAGAGCAGAGCAGGACAACCCTCTCAATCATCACTAATTTGAGGCCTCCTGAGATGAAGACAGTGTCTTTGCAGTGAATAACCCTCCAAAGCCCTGTTGTCCATGTCCCCTCCTGAACCCCTGTGAAACTCTGGCACCCATCGTGCCCTGTGGTGAGGAGCACAACAGCACAGCCAGGCAGAGGTGCTTCCACTTGCTCCTCCTCCGTTTGAACCTGCCATCCTCTTCCTGGCTGGTGCTTACCAGCCCTTGTCTAGGAAAAAAAAAATGGATGCCCCTGCACTTACCTTAGCCCCTCCCGTGATTTTGTGAGCTCCTCTCTTCTTGGCAGCCTGACAAGCCCTAACTTGGCTTAATTATATTTGTTGATTAAACTGCTCCATACATTGGAAGATGTGGCAGGGCCGGGCTTAGTGAGGGCCAAATGTCATGGTCCTCCACAAGGGACTATTTTACAGAAGACCAGAGGGTTTCTAATGAGCTCTGAAACCTCTGTGCCTCGTTTAGCTAACTGGATCCTGGCTCTGGGTGAAGGGACATCCAAAGGACCCTTTCTCAGACCCCAGGGCCAACTGGGCTGTGGGGACCCAACACAGGCTTTGGCCACTTGCTCCCTCACCATGCTGGCATGCTTCACAGGGTGGGAGCTGCCACACACCAGCTCACCACCCCTTTCCCAAATCCTTGGCTTTGTGCAGAAGAAGATGCCCTTGATGGCTCTGTCCACAGCAATGGCTGAGAGCTTCAAGGAACTGGACACAGAATCTAGCCTTGGGTAAGTGCCAATGGGAGAAAGGGCCAGTGCTGGCCTTGAAAGATGCCATACTCAGGCATAGCCTCTGTCTTGGCTCAGGGGCTCCCATGGCAAAGCTGAGCTGTCAAACTCTGTCCTCAGAGTAAACACTGGTGTTGCAGGAGAAGGAACAGCCAGCATCATCAACCTCTAACTGCAGAGGGGGCCAGGGGTTCACTCAGGGTCCCACATGGGTATTGGTATGGTGGGGGGGTGTTGGGTCATAGGGTGATGTGGCTGCAGCCCACAGTCATTTAATCTCTGTCCCACACACAGGAAAGCCCTGGAGATGGCCTGCTGCATACAGAGCTCACTGGCCAAAATCCTGGCTGAGTTTGAGATCACCCTGGAGCACGATGTCCTGCAGCCACTCAACAAGCTCAGCGAAGTAGCTCTGGCCACCTTCCCAGCTCCACTCTCCCATCCCACCTCCCCTTCCCAGGTTCCCAAGCCTCTGCAACTCCCTCTGGCCCCTCTTTCCCACAGGAAGAGCTTCCCATCGTCCTGAAGCGTAAGAAGACCCTCCAGAAGTTGATCTCTGACTGGAACACCATCAAGAGCCGGTGAAGGGCACACCCCAGCCAGGGGGGAGGGGGCAGGCAGGACACATGGGGCACAGCCCCCAGCCAGGCTGAGGGAGAGGGGAAGATGACTGCCCTGGGGAGCAAGTTTCCCCAGGCTGGAGGTGAAGTCAAAGAGGCAACAGCTCTTCGGAAGCTCCCAGCCAGCCCCCCTCTGCAGGCACATGCCGCTCTGGGCTGAGCCACTGGCTCTGTGGCACAGGAGGGAAGGGCAGGGCCCTGTCTGAAGGCAGCAAAGTGCCCTGGTGCTGCTCAGTGCTGCTGAGATCACCCTGGTCAGACTTCTGCAGGGTAGTCCATGCTGTGCCAGGTTTCTCTGGGAGAGCAGGGCAGCCATGGGTTGCTGGTGCCTCGTTCCCACACTGCCCTCCCTTTGGCTGCTGGCTGGAGAGGAGGAAACACCTCAGGAACAGGGCTTGGGAAGGGTCCTGCAGACCCTGGTGTTTCAGGCAGCCATGCTGAGTGCTCCCCATCCTGACCAGGTCACACCTCTTGGTGCAGCAGCATCTTCCTCTTGGGGAGGGAAATGAGAGGTGCTGGCCTAGGAAAGCAGGAAAGCCACCACAGGGCAGTCCTGTGACTTACAACCGCAGCTGGGGTTGACCCCCCTCATGGTCCCCATACCCCTTCTGCACACCCATCCCATCCTGTGTCCCCAGCACTGAGGCTTTGGGTGTGCCTCTTCTCTTCCACTCCAAAGGCTGAACCAAGCTGCCAAGAGCACCAGTAACAGCTCTGGTCCTGGCGCTGGCCCTGGGGCATCTGCTGCTGCCAACAAACTGGAGACCTTGAAGGAAGAGGAGGAGGAGGTGAAAAGGAAGGTGGAGCAGTGCAAGGTGAGAACGTCACTCGCTCTCCCCCATGGGTCACCTCCAGGGCTGGAGACGTGGTCCTCTCCGGTGGCTCCATCCAAGATGACCCCATGCCAAGGCACAAGCAGCCAGCTGGCATGTCCTGCTCTCTGCAAGCAAACCAGTCCCTCGAGGAGCAGCAATAGGGAGATGCCCTAAGCTCCAGGGGCTTCAGAAGGGAGCTTATGGGGTCCCCTGGGGCTGGGAGCCAGCCAAGCAGGGATCTGTGCTGGGTAGCAGGAGACTTTCACATCAGCTTCCTCAACACCTGCCCTCTTTCTCTGAAACAAGCAGATCCCAAGGGCATGCTGGAACTAGAGGTGCAGGGACCTCTTGTCCCTGAGCCTCTAGTGCCAGGATCCTGATCATAGGGCAGGTCACTGATGGTACCCGAATACAAGTGATGGGGGCAAGAAGGAATCCCCTCATGGTCCCAGCCTGCCTCCCAGCCGCACCCTGGAGACTCTGGGCGACTCACAGCCCAGACAGGAGGCTTTGTGAAGACATCCCATCTGCCTTGGGTACCAGGGAGAAGGTGGAAGGTTGCTGATCTCTGTGTCTCCCTTCCCAGGATGAGTACATGGCTGACCTCTACCACTTCTCTACCAAAGAGGACAGCTACGCCAGCTACTTCATCAGAGTAAGTCTTCTTGCATGTCTCCTCACCACATCTGGGGTATGTGTGAGCCCAGCCTCATATCCACTTGTACCAAGCCCTCCAGCCAGGGCAGGGGACAGCCCCAGGCACCAGTAGATGCCCAAAGCTGGCCCTGCTCCATGTGCTGTGACTGCATGTCACCAACTTGTCCTGATGAGCCCCTATCTCCAATTCGCCCTCCACCCCTCAGAATAACCACATTCCCACAAACTCCAGAGGAGGTTCCCCTTTCGGCTCCCCTTTCTCCCTGCCTCCATGTGGGTACCGTGTCCTGGGGACGAGGGTCTCTCTAAGAGGGGCCAATGCTGAACTGAGCACTGTTGGTGTGTCCCCTATCCGGCAGCTGCTGGAAATCCAAGCCCAGTACCACCGACAGTCCCTGGAATCGCTGGACTCAGCTCTGGCAGAGCTGAAGGAATGCCACAGCCAGACAGGTACTTTCCAGCTCTCCATGCAGCCTGGGGAGAGCCACAGCTGGGCACAAGGAATGCAAGCACACCTGGAAATGCAGGTTCTCCCCACTCCGTGCTGCACATCAGGCTGGTGGGATGGGGACAGCAGCCTGAGGCAGGCTGGGGATGCTGCCTGCTCAGCCCCAGCTAGGAGAGAGGTGTTGGCATGGCTAGATGCTAGATGGGCCCGGTGACCACCATCCCTCCTGACATTTACCTCCCTCTTCCAGAGCCCTCCTTTACCCCAGTGGTGGGGTACTATGGTGTGCCCTTAGAAACACACCTCAAGAGCTTGGGAAGGGAGATTGCGCTGCCCATCGAAGCCTGTGTCATGATGCTGCTGGCCTCTGGCATGAGGGAGGAGGTAGGCAGTGCTCCTCACCCCCCCTGCCATGCTACCCCCCTCCCCCAGAATGTAGCCCCTTGCATCCCTTCTTTCTTTGCTCCACCCCCAGGGACTCTTCAGGCTGGCAGCCGGTGCCTCGGTGCTGAGGAAGTTAAAGAGCAGCTTGGCGAGTGGCTGCAATGCCCTAGAGGAGTTTTACTCAGACCCCCACGCCGTGGCTGGTGGGTGCCAGGGAGGTGGGATGGTGGGACACAGCTGGGCTGTCCCTACTGTCCCCCAGCTGCCATCACCCCTGCCACTCCCCCTCCCCTCCCAGGTGCGCTGAAATCCTACCTGCGGGAGCTGCCCCAGCCTTTGATGACCTTCGAGCTCTATAATGAGTGGGTGAAAGTGGCCAGGTGGGTCTGGGCATTAGGGTGGAAAAGTCTGGTGGAGCACCAAGGAGCCACCCCCCCACCTCTCCCAGCACTGGGAGCAAGGCTGCTCGGCCTCATTTGCCACATGGGGAGACAAGAATGCAGCACCTGCTCTGTTCCATGCTCAGCAGAAATGCAGATGCCCCCAAATCCCATTGAACAGCAATAAAAAACATGGCAGGGCCAGGGCTGGGGGGGGAAGGCTGCAGCCTTTCTGATTGCAGGAAGAGCTTAGTCTATGAAGAGCCGCTTGGCCTCAATGGCATGAGCCCCATCTCACCAGGCCACCAGCCCAGACCGACCCCTTGCTTTTGGGTCGAAAGGGGTGGTTGAGGGGGCTCATCAAAAACCCTGGGGAAAGGGGGACAGCACCTTGCTAAAGGGATGGGCTCAGTGCCACTGCCCCCCATAGTCACGGTGAAGCAGGGCTGTTCCTGGTGGCAAGGCAGTGCTCACCCCCCGGCCCACCCACCGTCACACCAAGTCCCTTTGAGCCTCTGGGGTGCACTTTTATCAATGCCTGGCTCAGCTGCCCAGAAAAAGGCAGCAGCAGGGCATCTCCATCCCCGCACGGGGCTGCTGCCACTGGCCTTCCTCCCTCGCACGCCGTGTCCCCCTCTGCTGCAGGGGAAGGGCTGAGCTCTCCACTCCTCCCTCTTCTCTCCCACAGCCTGAAGGACGCTGACGGCCGCGTGCGGAGCATG